AACGGACATTTTGCCGAACGGACATTTTACCGAACGGACAGTTTGCCGAAAATAGAGATATCTTCTGAACTTTATAGGTTTGCTTACACGGTCAAAATTTCTGTGATTAAAGTCATTGGCGATTTTGTGATGACAGAGACTTTGATAGTGAAGATAGTTTCGTTTTATATTTTTTCAAGTTTTTGACAAGTTTACCGAAATTTCGCGATAAAAAGAATAACATTCAACATCATTCATGAATGCGATTTCCCCGAAAACTGCGAATGTATTCCATGATTCTCGAAGTGAAATTCGCTTACGTCGTTGTCTTCGTATACGCTTGTTTGTTTACGACCTGACGTCAAAACACGTTTCTAGCAAATGAGTCATCCGCTGCACAAACAAGCTACCAATAGTCAATATGGTTATGTTCTGCTAACGACCATTATGCACTGTTAATGACCATATAATGGTTATTTTACATAAAGGTTGGGAATTACAAAGTTGAGAAATGAGGCACAGTCCCAAACATTTTGACGAAATAGCGTCTCTATTTTCGGCAAGTTGTCCTTTCGGCAAACTGTCCATTCGGCAAAATGGCTGTTCGGCAAAATGTCCATTCGGCAAAACGTCCGTTCGGCAAAACGTCCGTCGGCAAGATGTCCGTTCGGCAAAATGTCTTTCGGCAAAATGTCTTTCGGCAAAGTGTCTTTCGGCAAAATGTCCGGGTACCGATATTTCGAAATAGAATCTAGTCCCTTCGATATATGAACTCTGCACTGTTATGTACACATTGTAAATATTTGATGCTATATGCCTATGAAAACATTATATCAAGCAAAAATGCTAAAAAAGTGGATTTATTATATTTTTCTGGTTAAATCTATAACAATTGTTTTGTTTTAATAATATTAATTGGTATACGGAAATTATTAAATTCTATATAATTCAAGCTTAAAAATATCTTATCCCTATATAAATTTCATCTCGCCGCAAATCATATATTTCTTTCATACTACTGTCTGCGGGCCGGGGGTTTATTTAATTTCCTTATTTTTAAATTCCTTAGTGTGCTGATGAAAACTATGCCTAATAATAATTGTGGTGTTTTTCGGGGAAACACGTCATTTCTTCCTTGATCTGGCATCAGATCAAGTGTCAGAAGCACATGCACATGATTGCGTATTGTTTTGATTTTCAATGCGTCGTTTTTTTTGCACATATAATACGATATATTGTATTTTTGTAACTTTTTGTTTTGACCATAATATACTGAACGGTTCTGCTAATTAGATGTTACACTAGGGGCTAGGGGCCTATTCTGTATGATAGAAACCATGATATAGGCTGTTTAATTAAGCCTCTAAAAATTTCTGGAATCATGCCCTATAAGTATATTTTAAAAACTAAAAGCTTCTAAAGAACTAGCTAGAAATATAGTATTTCTCGTATATTTCTTCACTGCATGGTATTTGTATACCTGTAGTAATTCTATCCATTCCTGATGACTAAATAACAAACGCCCCGCACTAAACATTTTTCAAAATGTTACGGTTCCCGGAGTTACTGATACAGCCAATTCAAAAAGATTGTCCAGTTGCAAACTCTAAACTCTAAACCGTAAACTGTAAGAGCGCAAAGCGTATAGTGGGATCACAAGTTTCAAGCTTAGTATAGGTGAATATTGCAGCTATTTGTGAATGAATTGTTCTCGTAAGGAGATACTGTTTACCATGTCTCTAAGAAATGGGCCCCATATATAACTTCCGTTGATTGCTAACCAAATTAAACTTTCGTATATAAATAAATGTTTCCTTCTATTAATCATGGGATCCATATTCGTAGTATATCACTTAGTTTGGCGCAATGTGGGCACAGTGACCGCAAAACGTGACTATATATATACGTAATATATTATTTGCATAAATTGCTCCGTTGCGCGTCATTGCATGATGTAGTTACAGCACGTTTCAGCACCGCAAATAGGATGTGATATGACAAACCCTTGGCCTTATTAAGGCTTTAAACGTTTGTAAGACGTGACGTGTGAACTAAAATAATTTGTTCTAGACTATAAATATGAGTGCAAAAATATTGTTGTACTTTGAGTGCTACTGTATATTAGAGTGTCTTATAAGGAGTGTCTTTACAGATCGTACGGAATGTAAGTAGAATTGGTTAGTTTGATTGATTGTTATTGTAAAAGATTGTTTCAATACACGAAGATTAGAGAAACAGAATTAGAGAATCAAGATTTTTTACAAAGTTTGAAAAAATAACAATCCGGTGGATATCGTTGTCTGCATGCATAGCCTTCGTATAACCAGGCCCTGATGGTTAAGCAAACAAAAACTATCGTAAATATACGAAAATATATATGGGGGTATGAATGCTCAGTCAAGAACGCGTTAAGATTCAAAGCGAGCTCGCAGTCGCTTAATTTTGTTAGTCAAGAACGCGTTAAGATTCAAAGCGAGCTCGCATGCAGTCGCTTAATTTTGTTGTCAGTTATAATAATAATAATGCTAACTGCATGATTCAAGTAATCAAAATAATAGTTTGTTAGTTGGACTGGAAAACAAGTATAAGAAAAAGAGAAAGTGGCCAAAAAAGTTGAAAAGGATCAGCGGGCGCGGGGGACGCGCGAAAACCTTTTTCACCAGGCCTAATCTGATATGAATGCACTATTTACCATCTTGTTCTTTTCAGTTTGCGAAATCTAGAATCAAATATGAGAATTTATTTTGTTTTGTGCTTCGCCTTGGTTGCCTTCACCCAAACTCAACTTGGACTCGCCGGTCCTCCCGGCCCTCGTGGACGGAGTGGGGCTCTTGGCCCAAAAGGAGACCCACCTCCTTATTGTCGAGTAAGCTCGAAGATCACAGATTTTCTGAAGCAATTTCGTTCCACCAGCCTCAAAGGAGCAAGTGGTAAAAAGGGCAGTGCTGGTTCAACATCGAGTCTGGTGAGTTATGCCGAAGTTCACATACTTATGAAAATGAATATTGATGGTTCAAACATTGCGTTAGACTGTTCTGCTTTTTGTTAAGTAGAATAAATGTCAACAGTCTTGTGAGTAATTTTGAGTAAAGTCCACGGCAAAATTTTCAGTTTTTAATAAGTCGGGCAAAATGCAAGAAAGTTGGGCAAGTGTCATTCTAGGGCGCCCCTTACTCTTTTCGCTCCCGTACCCCTATATGAATTGAGTTCATCTAACAAAAGTAATTTAAAGTGGGCGAAAACATGAAAAGTAATTTATATATCTTTTTCTACACTACAGAATTACAAGTGGATTTATAACTGCCTACACGCAGGTATTAACTTCCAACAGCGTATCTTCGAGGTACCTGTATATGAATGTTGTCAACAGTGCGAATTACCTGACTTCTCTGACTGTATGCGGAGATATAGCGGGGCCGTGGCACAGTGTAATAGCGAGGCCTTACGATGTATAGCACGTTGTATCAACAATAAGGGACCAACGGCTGGACAGCCCGGACCTCCCGGTCCCCCTGGACCAAGGAAATGTCCCGTGAAGCGCAAGAAAGTGCTGGGAGGTTCTGACTGCCTTGAACGATCTTGTGTGAAAATCTAAAGTCATTTCATATTACGAAGTTCGTCCGAAGATTTGGTTAAAAAACACTATTAAGAATTTACTTATTTGTAGGACTGAAGACTAGATATATGATAATATTTACAATTAGAACTAGTTACAATTTACCATTGTATGTTAGTTTAAAATTCGCTCTTTAAAACTGAGCCAGCACTTTTAAATACATTACATGGCAGTATAGTATACCTTGTCTATTCTTTCTATTCGATCGTGTTGCTTCATGAATGTTCCTGTCCATCACTGTATTCTGAAGAATGAAAGAAAATTAGTATTCGATTTAAGTAACTCTGTCAGTTCTGAGCTGTTCATGCTGGAAGTCCAGTTTTATATAAAGAGTCACAATTTATACGTAATCAATATATTTCTTTCATACTATTGTCTACGGGGGTCAGTTATTTAATTTCCTTATTTTTTACTATTCCTTGAATATTAGTTGTGCTGACGAAAATCTGGGATTACGGATTGAAAACTTTGCCTAATAACAATTGTGTTATTTTTCGGGGTCGACGTGTCATTTCATCACCGCAAATGCAGTACGACTGATGATGGTTGAACGGTAAATATAATTGAGTGTCTTTCAAAAATTATATTTTTTTATAAAACTAAAGAAACGACTGCATGACCATGGGCTCATGAGAAGGAGTCAGCGTCTGCGGACGATCGTGACGCGCGGTAAGAATTGGAAGGAAGCGTTGCTTAATTTTGACATCATCTAAGCATGTTCTGGAACTTTGGGTGGGTGTTTTGTAATTGAATGTTTCAGCAAAGCACTTAGGCTTTGACACAAGTTAGTTTAAAATATTCGCTCACGCCTGTAAGTCTTTCAACGCAAAGACCTCAAAGAACCGATCAAATTACAAGTCTTCCTGTCAGCCGATAAACAAGCAATAAAACGACGCGAAATTTCGCTGGGGTTTATCATTCTAATTGGAACTCGAGAAAGAACAGTGCAGTATCAATTTTAATAACGGTAAATAAGAAGGCAAGATTTGATTGAAGATTTTTCAAAGACATATAGCCTACTAGGCTTCGATTTCTAGCAGTATCAAAGAAAAG